CCCGAACAATTGTTGACTCGAAGCTGTGGCTAGGCAGGAACAACCTGGCGAGACGGTGTTTGAAACACCTGGGCATCAAATTCAACATACGCTACACTATCCGACTAACACCACGAGCCTGTTAGCCGTCTTGCGAATCTGCGGAAGCCGAGAAATCAATCGAAATCACATGCAGGTATTTTCACCCAGCAGGGGAAACACATCCCATATGAATCGTCTAGGTCATGACAAGACTGTGCTCGCACTGCGCACCACCCTTGGGAAGCCCACGCGATGGAGCGAAAAATCATAATGACAATTGGCCACGTCGTATCAGCCGCAAGATATAGCACGGCGACCGTCAAGTGCGGTGGTAACTCCACCACGCCCTGCTTGCCCTGCTCCTTCCTCCTTCTCTTCCCCCTCCTCCGCCCCTCCCCTTCCTCCTGTCCCTGCCCCACCGCGGCTGGGGCGCAAAGATCCTCATCGTGCGCGGGGTGAGCTGCGCGCCCGGCGCCCAAACGCCCAGCGGCTGCTCGGCCCACTGCGCGGCCGCGCCCGGCTGTGGCTGTGGAGGAACGCAGGCGCTGCCGCACGGGAGCAGCCGCGCCAGCGAGCTGCTTCCGCGCCCTGGCGCCGCCGGCAGCGGGCCCCCAGCAGGGTCGCCCTGCCAATCGTGCAGCGGGGCGGCCTCCTGGAAGCCCGCGCGCTGGAGCACGCTCGCGGGGACTGTGTGCGAAGAGCGCTCGGGCCGAACTCCCAGAACTGCGGATCGTGCAGGACTGGCTGTCCTGGCCCCGGCACGGGCAAGCCCCCCGCAGAGTGCAGCTGGTGCCGCTGCCTCTGGCGCACGGTGTTGAAGAGCGCGTCCCAGGCCCTGCGCACCCGACGGTTGCACGGATCCTCCACGGCGTGGCAGGCCAGGGCCGACTAGAGCGCCAGGAGCCCCCAGAAGATGGCGATGGGGGCATATCCCTCCACGGCGTTGACTTTATGACCGATGAGTGCCTGTAGCAATATCCAATGGCCCATGTATTTTTTGATCGCGAACGTAGCGAAGTGCCGAACGCCATCCGAAAGTCGTAACAAACTAGCTACGGCCTCACTTGCGCAATCAGGAGGGAGAAAGAGAGACAACGAGAGAACAGCGGAAGGAGAGACAAACAGGAGGCGGGCCTCGCTGCCGCTAAAAAAGCGCCTTCGCCTGGGGGGGAAGCCGCCAGCCGGCTTGCATCGCCAAAATGGCGGGGGGGGGAATTCAGGTTGAGCGACTCCGCGAGCATTCCAGTAGCCTGTATCGGATAACGCTTGGCCGCAGCAAGAAGGGCCAGGCGCCTCCTTGAGCTGCGAATCGCGGTGGCGCCGCGCCAGCAGCGAATGGGAGGGCCGCGCGCCTCTGAGCTGCCCGCCCCGGCGCAAGTGCGCTGCGGGTGAGCTGGCCAGGGGGCTTAGCACCAACGCCACAGCGAACCCTCGGGTTACTTAGCGCACTCACCGGTCAACACGTCGTGTAGGCGCAAAACGAAAAACAGGCGCCAAAGACCAACGAACACACCGTCTCGTGGGGAGCGCGCGCAATCCACGCACCGCCAGCCGTCAACCAACTCACATGCAGGCGCCCGACGGATCGGAGTCCGGATCGCCAGACACCATCAAAGACTGATGTCGAAGTCCCGTTCCACGAAGCGGGGAATGAAGGCGGACGCGCACCCACCAGGCTGTGGACGATCCTGGCAATCGAAAGCCCCAAGGCGCAACATGGAGGCGTCCACCCGCAAGCGTGTCGGATTCCGCTCGGGCAGCGTCGGGAAAGTGGCCCATGTACGCGGAGAAGGCGTACTTGCCCTGCTGCGCCACCAGGCGGAGTCCCCAGGATATCCAGGACGACTCGTTGGCAAAGCACGCGACGACGAGAAAACACACCGCAGCCAGGGCGCACCGAAGTCCGCCCGCCCCTAGGGCGCAAGAAAAGCATGGACATCGAGGCGGCGATGAGCACGGCCTCGGTCAGCACCGCGCCTGCGGCGCCTGGCCAGCCCTCGAGCAAGGCGCAGTAGAGGCGGTAGCCGACGATGCAAAAGAGGAACACGGCGACGACCCGGAGCAAGCCAGAGGTGAACAGCATGATGGGCGCGATGCGGCACGGGGAAGGCCATCCGTTGTAGGAGGAAATAGATCTCGCTGTAGGTCGCGAGCGAGGCAGTGTTGAGGGCAATGGCGCTGTGACAAAACACTGTGGGCTCGCAAGAGTACGGTAATCAATTCCTGGGTAAAAGAATCAATCCCTGGCGACCGTCGACAAGGCCCCGCAGGAGCAAACACCGAGCATGGGAGTACGGGGGCGACACGCCCCCAGGCGAGCCGAGGAGTCGTCTGGCGCCCCGCCAAACGAAGCTGCCTGGCGACGCAGAACGTGGTGCACCCGAGTTCAATCGAAAAAAACACATGGGTACACCCAAAGTTGCTTGATGTCACTTTTGGTTTACACTCCAAATACAAAATGGAAAGCACAGAAAATACGCACACAAAAACAACTTCACTCAGAATTCCCCGAACATTCCTGAGACGTTTTCGCTTAGCCGCCCCCCTCTTAACGGCCCCTGCGCTGGCCCTCAACCATGCGTTTGGATCGGCTCAACGGCTCGCCAAGGCGTGCCAGCGCCTGTCGCCGTCGAGGAAAAAACAATTGCCTGGGCAGAAATATATTACTGTACTGATCCACGCTCCCGAGAACACGCTCGCTGTGATCAAGATGGCGATGGGGGCATATCCCTCCACGGCGTTGACTTTATGACCGATGAGTGCCTGTAGCAATATCCAATGGCCCATGTATTTTTTGATCGCGAACGTAGCGAAGTGCCGAACGCCATCCGAAAGTCGTAACAAACTAGCTACGGCCTCACTTGCGCAATCAGGAGGGAGAAAGAGAGACAACGAGAGAACAGCGGAAGGAGAGACAAACAGGAGGCGGGCCTCGCTGCCGCTCAGAAAAAAGCGCCTTCGCCTGGGGGAGAAGCCGCCAGCCGGCTTGCATCGCCAAAATGGCGGGGGGGGAATTCAGGTTGAGCGACTCCGCGAGCATGCCAGTAGCCTGTATCGGATAACGCTTGGCCGCAGCAAGAAGGGCCAGGCGCCTCCTTGAGCTGCGAATCGCGGCGGCGCCGCGCCAGCAGCGAATGGGAGGGCTGCGCGCCTCTGAGCTACCTGCCCCGGCGCAAGTGCGCTGCGGGTGAGCTGGCCAGGGGGCTTAGCACCAACGCCACAGCGAACCCTCGGGTTACTTAGCGCACTCACCGGTCAACACGCCGTGTAGGCGCAGAACGAAAAACAGGCGCCAAAGACCAACGAACACACCGTCTCGTGGGGAGCGCGCGCAATCCACGCACCGCCAGCCGTCAACCAACTCACATGCAGGCGCCCGACGGATCGGAGTCCGGATCGCCAGACACCACAAAAGGATCTACGTTGACATAGAAGTCTTACGGGATGCCCAAAGATGTAGGTGAGCACCATTGCCAGAACGTCGATCGGCCACATGAGCGCGGCCCGGTGGTCAACCCCTTTCAAAGGATCACAGGCCTTCGCCGAGAACACGTAGCTGTGACAACACACAAATCCACCAAGGGCCATGAGGAAGCCAACAAGCGGGTGCAACGACGTCTTCCGAACGTCTGCGAAATGGTCGAGCCTGGCGAAACAGCAACCGCAGTGGGACACCGTGATGCCCAGCGCCGCGAGCGCGCGCAGCGCCTCCAGGGCCTCGAACCTCTTTCCCTGAACCTTCGCCTCCTCCTCCTCCTCCTCCTCCTCCTCCTCCTCCTCCTCCTCCTCTTCCTCTTCCTCCTCTTACTCCCTCCTCCTCCTCCTCCTCCCCCCTCCTCCTCCTCCTCCTCCTCCTCCTCCTCCTCCTCTCCCTCCCCCTCCTCCTCCTCCTCCTCCTCCTCTCCTCCTCCTCCTCTCCTCCTCTTACTCCCTCCTCTCCTCCCCTCCTCCTCCTCCTCCTCCTCCTCTCTCCTCCTCCTCCTCCTCCTCCTCCTCCTCCTCCCTCCGTGGCCGAGGGCGCGCCACAGCCCCCCTCCATGGCCCGCCCGCCCCGACTAAGAAACGGCTGGAGCCAACATGGCTACGGAACCACCACTCCCCCTCCTCCTCCCCACCCTCCTCCTCCTCCTCCTCCTCCTCCTCCTCCTCCTCCTCCTCCTCCTCCTCCTCTCCTCCTCCTCCTCCTCCTCCTCCTCCTCCTCCTCCTCCTCCTCCTCCTCACCCTCCTCCTCCTCCTCCCCTCCTCCCCCACCCTCCCCTCCTCGTCCCGCCCCTCCCCCCTCCCCGTCCCGCCCCCACCACCAGCAACATGGTTCGTGTCGAGGTCGGCGGGCTCTTCCCCGAGGGGCCCTCGAGAAAAAGCACCTTCGTGGTGGAGAGGGGCGGGCCTTCTCAGAAGGCTCGCAAGTCTCCAGGCCTTCTGGAACGTTTCTAGGCCCTCTCCGAAGACGTCGAGAACTTCTCAGAAGGCGCGAGGGTTCCTGAGAAGTCCCACCGCCTTCTGGGAAGGCCCTCTCCTCAAACGACACCAACCCACCTACGGCCCCGCGGCGTTTCGCGTATGCCAGGACATCCGGCGTGGGCTTTCAAGTGGTATGCGTTGCGGCCCCCGATGAGCCGTAGCGCAACGTGGAGGGCCGTAGGTGAGGTGGCGTCGTTTGTCAACTGGCCGATCACCGCCGATTGTTGCGAACGGAAACGCTGGTCGTGGCCCTCGGGGATCTTCTGACCCGGGTCAATCCAGACCCGGGTCTATCAGGCCTGCAAAACCCTGCCAGATCCTGCACCCTGACCCGGGTCGACGCGAAGGATCCTGCAGGATCCTGCAGGATCCTGCACCCAAACCCGGGTCGATGCGACCCTGGCGCTGCAGGATCCCGCAAGGCCCGGCGCTCTGGCTGACCCCCGTCTGCACTGACCCCCGTCTCGAGGCTCCCGAGGAAACGCTGGTCGCGGCCCCCAACCAGAGGCGGAGGGACCGTCCACAGCGGCTCGGCGCCGTGCGCATAACCGCGCACCTCGCCGCGGCAGGCCGCCGCCCCGCCAGCGCGGCACGCGGGCTCCACGCAGGCGCCGGGCGCGTGCCAGGAGCCGCAGGCCTACGGAGGGGAGGAGGAGGAGGAGGAGGAGGAGGAGGAGGAGGAGGAGGAGGAGGAGGAGGAGGACGAGGAGGAGGAGGAGGAGGAGGAGGAGGAGGAGAGGAGGAGGAGGAGGAGGAGGAGAGGGGGAGGGGGAGGGGGAGGAGGGAGGGAGGGAGGGAGGGAGGGAGGGAGGGAGGGAGGGAGGGAGGGGTCGGAGGAGGAAGGGGAGGGGGCGGAGGAGGAGAATAGGATAGGATAGGACGGCACCGAGGACGCGTGTCCGCGGTGGGAGGGCCTTGCCCGCTGAGCGCAAATAAAATCTGAAGGGTGCCTCCATCAGGAGGTTTTTGCTGGCACTGCCGAGAGGGGCGATATCCCTCGGCAGGCCCACGACAGGAGCACACCTTCAGGAACGGTGGGGCTCGACAGGAGACCCAGCGAGCCGAACAAAGGATGCCGTGCTGTGCTATACTTCACGCACCGCACAGCATGGCAGGAGGAGGATTGCACGCCCATAGGGGGGAGAGGAGAGAGAGGGTCGGCTGGTCCAAAAACACCCCAGGGGGGCCCATCGGAGAGGACCTTTTTGTCACCACGGTGCGGCTCGGACAGGCAGCGCACCGTGGGCCAGCGACAGGGCCCCCTTAGGTAAAATCATCGTCGAGCTCGACCACAGCAGGTCGGACACGCAACTCCCTTCCGAGCTCACGGGCCTCCGCCTCATTGAGCCCGAAGGCCTGGAGACAGTCAGCCATGCAGAGAGTGGCGGCTCCCGAAACCTGCTGGGCCCTCGAAGCCCTACTCGTCGGCTGGGACCCCCAACCTCCGACCAGGAAACGAGAACCGAAAAGCTCACGAGCCAGGGCCCCAGGAGATCTCGGGGGTCCCAGCCGCCGCGCCCGATTCGGGTGCTTGAACTTTACAAAACTCGACGTGTTCTTTTTGCCAGGGCCGACCAACGAGTGAGCCGAGCCCTGGCATCCAGTGCGCAAGCCCCTGGAACCTGTGGCCACAGTTGCATAGCTGCCACAGGTGGAGCAAAAGAGGAGGGGGGGGGTCCTCTCCCTCCTCCGTTGGCTCCACAGGAAACTCAAGCAGGCAGTGGCCCCCCTCCTTCCACGGCTGCGTGCCTTCGGGCGCCCTGCCCAGGAATCTCTCCAGCGAGGCGGCAGCCGCAGGGTCGGGGGCCGTCGGGACCTCACCGCAAGGGGGGGGCGCAGCTGCCTCGTCCTCGGCCCGAGCCTACTCGAGCCGAGCGTCGTGATCCGAGGGGAGATCCAGGGAGACCAAAGACAGGCCCTGGGCACCTACATTGTCGTAGACCCCGAGCTCACTGTAGTAGACTTCCGCACGCGTTATAAACTGCAACACCTCTCGGGCCAGTAAAAGGCAGCCCTTAGCTAAGAGGGTGCCCCGTTCATCATGCTGGGCAAGCGAGGCCCCCAGCTTGGCCAGCCTATCAGCACCACGGTTGCCAGGGCGTTCGAAATCGGACAAAAGGCCGTCTCTGACATCCTGAGCCGAGGCGCGAGCAGGAACCTTCTTAAACCTGGCCCCCTCAAGGCCTCCCGAAGCCCAAGACTGAGACCAGAGGTGGGCCCTGGGGTTAGCCGAGGAGACCGAGCGCGCTCTGTGTTTGCAACAGTCAAGCGTGCCCTTGCAATCAGAGTACAGAGTGAAATCGCCTGCACACAGCTTTGAGACGATGAAAACACTATAGTCCTCGCCGTCGCGCGCCACCTGATCAGGCAAGGTGGCTGGGGGCACAGAACCATACCACTCCGCTATGCACCTGCGTGACTCATCGAAGACGGTAACTCCCCATCCAGCAACGCGCAAGGACGGGAACAGCCCGTCTCGGCCTGAACCATCGCAGAAAACATGTCCCTCGGAAAGCATAAGCGGCCCTGCAAGGCCGCCCTCAACGCGAAACTCCGTGGACGGGTCCCAGGGTTTCCTGGCCAGAAGCTGGCACGGGTCAGGAAAGATACATCGGGAAAAACGCCCTTGCAGCTCGACACTGCAGGTTGACACTCTGCTGGCTGCACGCTGCACGCACACGGGAAGGTCGTCACTGCGCCAGGCCGTCCTGGCCTGGCACTGAAAATGGCGATGAAACAAGGTGCCTCGCTCTCCACAAATCAGGCATTCTGACGCCAGCTCAGGATCATGCTCACTGAGTCTGTGCTGGCACCAGTGAGAACCCAGAAGGAGTCCTCTGAGCGTACGCTGCTCTCTGACCCCCCACGAACCACCCGTCCCAACCGCCCCGCCCTCCCCGTCAATTCTTCTATGCAGCAGCTCATTCAGCGGTCGCCAAACAAGTTCTGCGCGCCAGGCCTTGCCTGGTCCTATTTTGCCCAAGGCCGCAACGTCCGAAAACCTTCGCGCCGAAAAGCGCGCTCGCCTGGCCATGAAAGCGGACGAGACCTGAGTCAGGTCCCACACCTGCCCCTGGGCCTCCTGCACCAAGAAAGGTCCCTGGAAGACAAACCCGATCCCCAGGCAGGTTAAAACCAGTGCGGACACGGGGTCCTTGACCAGGGCCCAGGGTTTCGGCCTCTGGGCGACCCCCTGGGCCTTCGCAAACAAAACTGAAAGGACACGCTCAGACAGCCTGCCATCCTTTAGAATCTGAACATACGTCTTGATCGCGTCAGCAGAGACTTGCACCAAAGGATCTCTCGACCAACCCCCACGCGTACACATCGAAGCCAATCCGAGCGAGCATCCTTTGGGCAGCCTCCCTTCGGCTTTGACAGCCGCAACTCTTAAACTCTTCAGCTTTCCATCAGGCAGCCCCTGGATGTCGCCCCCCCAGAGAGCCTCGGCGGTAATCCCAGCCCGAAAAATTCCCCCCGTCGGGGCACCAGCCTCGCGGAGGCTGAGGACCCTGGCCACCTTGGCCTGGGCCTCTAGGAAACGGGCCTGGTGGGTCGACACTCGCCGCCTTGCCCCGTCCGTCGCGTCCCCTCCAAGGTCGCGGTGGACAGATGCCCTGGCCTCTGCAGGGGGCTGGCAGCACGATGCAAGCTGGTTGGCCAGGGAGGCTGACGACGCCAGGAGCCCAAGCTTGTTCCAGGCAATCGGGAGGCCCCCAGCCTGGAAATCTTGGGTGGCCAGGTTGAAAGCCGACGAAAGCTCAGTGCACACCGTGGCCTGGCCTCCGATGGACTGAAACGAAACATCATCAATGACACGTTTCAGGGTGACCGTTGGGCACGTCGAAACCACTCTGCGCAAAACCGACACGAGCAATAGGCGAGCGAGCGAGGCGGCACCCGAACAGCCAGCAATGACGGAGCCATTCGGCGAGACGATCCTGGAGATCGCCCCCTGCCAAGATACCCGCCTCGGGGAACGGTACACCGTGCAATAAGCCACCTGCTCAGCTGCCGCTAGCAGCTCGGCGTGGCTGGCATGCTCGTAGAATTTGCGAAGGCCAAGAAACAACGCACCCGAAACTAAACCTCTAGTTTCCCGGGCAAAAGCGGCCATGGCATGGTGTACCCAAGCGCTCATGTCACAAGCAGTGGACGTGCTCATCCCCCAGAAAAAGGGGGCGTCCAGCTCCCTTTCCCACCCCGCGCATCTGGCATGCCGAATCCTGCTCCACACTCGGGCCCAGAGGGGGAGGAGGCCAATAGGCCTGACCCCCCCCCCAGACGGTTTCGGAAGAAACACGATCACGACGAGCCACAACGGGCCCACCGTAGGGTCCCGTTCCCAGGCCGTGAGGATATCGGCGAAGGCCTCGACGAGCGCGGGTCAGACCTGCAGGAGGAGCTGGGGGTGAAAAGAATCCCACCCCAGGCCCGTGCCCGGGGGAAACGACTTGGCTGCCGCCAGGACCTCCTCCGAGGTAATCGGCTCCAGTCCCAAGGCGGAGGCTCGCCAGCTCGATTGTCTTTGCACCAGATCGGCAACCACTCTTGAAGGGTCCGCTGCAGTGCTGCATCTCCTACTAGGGGAACACAATCCCCTTCCTGCTCTTCAGCAAACACGGGCTGGGGAGGCGCCGAGGGGCCCTTCGAATACCTGTGAGCAACCCGCCCCCCTCCAACGACAGACGACTGCGCCCACGACCTCCATTTCTGGCGCCCCTCAGCCGCCTCTTGGGACACACGCTTAGAAACTTCGGCCTGCAGCCAATTCACAGCATCAGCCTTTTGATCACAGGCTAGCAGGCTTCTAAACAGAGTCTACAGTGAACCCTCTGAGCTGCTCTACCTCGGCACTTTGCAGCAGGTGGCCAAAGGCGCCAGCCTTGGCCAGCAAGCGCTCACGGTCCTTCTCCCTACGCATGTAGAGCATCGCCAGCCTCCTGACCGCGAGCCAGTTCTGCGTGTGGACCGAGCAGCGCTGGTTGAGGTCCTGCCCCCAGGCCGCCTGCAGGGGGACCTTCTGGATCTGGCAGCCCGACGACCTGCCTGCGGATCCCTTTGCTTGTCCAAGACTATGCAGCTTGACCAGCTCCGCCTCGGCCGCATCGAACCACTGGGCAGCGGCCTCCATGGGCCTGTCCAAGTCGAAGTCGTATGTCTGGCCTCCCTCCGGCGTGACGAAGATCCGCTTCTCCTCGTCCGTCCGCGCCAAGGGAAAGGCCTTCGGGACAATCCGCTTCCACACCTTCGCTGCCCCAGCAAGGTCCTTCAGGCGGAGGTGCACCGACGAGTGGGGTCCTCTGGGCGTGTCGGGCCACTCTCGAACCTCATCGACATGGTACTCCAGGCATCTGCTGATCACAAAGAAATCGTAGCATTTGTCGTGGCATGTTAGCCCAGGCGGCCGAACTATTGTCACTCCCAAGTGTTCGCACCACCTGGACTCTCGCAAAACTGCCGCATCGATGTTCCAGTCCCCAGCAATGAGCACGGGTCGGGGTGTCGGCGAGGCCAGCTCGCTGAGCTGAGCCAAAAAGGTAAGGTTCTCCCCCGAGAGGCCAATATGCACCCGATCCGAGAGAACCAATCTCCTGGCGCACATCCTTTCCGACGTGAGCTCGTGCACCACATCCGACGCTCCAAACCTGGCCGAGGTCGGCACTGCAACTCCTCCCGAAGTCGCGTTGTCGGCCAAGCCCGTCGAGGCAGCACACGAAAAGGTCGAAGTGAAACCAGCCTGGTACGCCCATGCACGTGGCCCCACCTGCTGGGCCTTCGTCAGCCTCGTCTCCTGGAACAGCCCGATGTCGAACGTGGTAGCCCGAGGCCCCTCTTTGGCCCATTCCAGGAACTTGCGGGCCGTTGCCCAGGCGTTGCTATTGTAGGTGACAACGTTGAGAAACGGGTCTGCCTCGTGCCGCGCCGTCGCGTTCTCCAGTGTCGAGGCTCTTCCCCGATGGTCGGTGCTGCCCCCCCCCCCCCCCAGTGGCCGCAGGCCGCGGAGGACAATGCGCGCCATCGGGGCCGGCTGCGTGGCGACGACACTGCCCGCTAGGGGCGCCTCTGGGTCGACCATGTGGCTGGTCCCCTCTTGGGCACAGCGGCGCGGCGGCGGCAGGTCCCCAGGATGCTGGAGCCTCTGCGGCGGCGGCGCTCAGGCTGGCCAATAGAGGGGCCCGTGCCGATATGAGTCCCTCATGTGGCTGGGCCCCCTCTGGCACCAGCGGCGCGGCGGCGGCGGGTCCCCAGGATGCTGGAGCCTCCGCGGCGGCGGCGTCACGGCTGACACCTGAGGGGGCCTGTGCCCCAGCCGAAGTCGCCCTTCTCGCGGCCGTGGCCCCAGCGGGAGATGCCGAAGCCATAGAACATGTGGGCCCCGAGCCTGGGCCTGGCCCAGGCGGGCCGCTGCGCGCCGCTGGGCCCAGCTGAACAACGGCGCTCTTGATCAGGGAGCTGGCCCCCTCAGGCCGAACTCGTGGCCTGAGGGGGCGGCGGGCGACAGATTCTGGCTGCTCGCTGCTTGAGCCCGTCGCCAGCACCCGCCCCTGCAGCTGGCGCCGCGGGCGCAGGCAGAGGGGCCCCCGCGGAAGCAGCTGCCCCATCGCCTTCGGAAGGAGGTCCAGCAGCAGCAGCAGGCGCCACCTCAGGGCCAGGAGCCGCGGCCTCAGAGTCCTGCCGCCTGCGCTTGCCCGCCAGGCGGGCCGCCATCTTCTCCTGCTCGATCTTGAAGGCCTTGGCCTTCTCCGCCGCCTGGCCGAACATCGCCTTGACGGCCGCCGCCAGCTCGGTCTGCAGGCGAGCGGTTCGTTCTTCCAACTCTCTCTTGTCCGAATCTTCCATATCATACTCCGCATCGTCGAAGCCCAGGCCAGCGAAGGACAACGGAATCGACTCGATCGTGCCATCCAAGATGCCAGCCACGCTGAGCGCCTGAGGCGGGGCTTGCTGCGGCGGCACGTACGTCTCCTTGAGCTCCACCACCAGGCGGCAGTGCTCCTTCTCGCGCTCTTCGAGCTCGGTAGTGAGCTGCTGCACCCATCTGCGCTGCTGCTCGAGCCCCTCCTGCAGCCGCTCGAAGTGAGCCACCGCCTTCTCGAGCTTCTGACTGACCTCAGCCGCCTGCTTGTGGGCCATGGTGACCCTCTGAGACAGCGGGGCCACATACGCCTTCTCAGCCTCCTTGCGGCGCCTCTCAGTGAGGGTGCTCTTGTGCTTCGCCGCGCTGGCCACGTCGCCCGCGCGCTCCAGCATCGCCACCAACCGCTCCAGGTCTCCGATGTCCATATCGCTGTCTTCCGACTGGGCCACCATGAACTGGGCTCCTGGGGCACGGGGCAGGGCCTGACCGCCGACGGCAGCGTCTGGGCCCTTGCCCCCTTTGCCCTTGCGCCCCTTGCCCTTCTTGCCACCTTTGCCTCCTTCACCATGCATTGCGGCGTCAGCCCAAACTCCGCCTGGCTCAGGTGGTGCAGTCGGGGCAACGTCGGACAGCTTGTGGCCACAGGCTCTGCAGAACACGCTTCCACGCACATTATTCTTGCAACCGCACTTCGCGCAAGCAGGAGCTTTCCCGACCTCCTTCCAACCTTCAGAGTCTCCTGGGCCCATGTCGCGCCACTCCCTCCACTGCCCCACCCAGGGCGGGGGAGCGGACTTCCTCCATGGAGGCCTGACAGCAGCGGCCGCGGGAGGAGCCATGGGGCGAGCAGCAGGAGGCAGATCCTGCGGGGACTCGAAAGGTACGCCGTGTTAAGAAGAGTGCTCCACCAGGAGCTCACAAGAAATCTGAACCAGCAAAAACTGGTGCAGGATCACGGGCGGGGGCGCGCCTCCCCCACGCCAGAAGACTCCTGTCCAGAGCGAAACGCTACGGACTTGAGCCAAAATGGCTACGGATGGCAGAAGGAGGAGGAAGGGGGGAGAGGCGGAGGAGGAGGAGGGCGCGTGCCAGGAGCCGCAAGCCTGCGGAGGAGGAGGAGCTGGAGGAGCAGGAGGAGGAGGAGGAGGAGAGAGAGGGCGAGAGGAGGCGGAGGAGGAGGAGGAGGAGGAGGAGGAGGAGGAGAGAATGCAGGAGCGAAGAGGAGAAGGCCCAGGATAGTTCCACGGAGCCGACCCCTGACACCCAAGCGGAGGTGCCGCTCCAAAATGAAACGCGCCTACTGCGAGGGGTCAACACACAAGCTGCGGTAGTGGAAGCGCTTGCGAGCATCACAGTGCGCTTGCGAGCACCACGGTACGCTACCGAGCATCACAATGCGCGCGATGCGCGTCTGCGAGCACCGCAGTGCGGTCGCGACCAGCGTGTTGATGGGCTGCCCGGTCTGGTTTGGAAGCCAGCGAGGGGCGTCAGCCTGTGGAATACACGTGGGCCCTTGTTCGGCTGCGGCGGCGGGGAAATGGTGTGGGGATAACGCTTCCCGGTGCGGAAGTGTTATCCTTAAGCCGGAAGGGGAGGGGGGGGATGGTTTCTTGAATACTTCCTAGGGTTAAATGTGTACACGTGAGAACCATTGCAATGGCAGCAGAAAAATGTGGCCAGACGAGAAGAGCTGGTCCATCTCCCGGGTACAAGCGAACGTAGACAAGACGTAAGCAAATTAAGCGCGCGTGTCTTGGGCCATATAGCGGGGGCAAGCAGTGCTCCTGCTCATAGTACCTCGTCCCCTGTCAACTTCCTTACCGTTAGTGTGACACCGTATGATACAAGAAAGCTAAATCCCTTTGGGGCCCTCGCCAGGGTGGATGGCGTCCGCGGGCCATGGGCGGGAACCTACAGCGCTCATCCTCATCCTCATCCTCGCCCTGTCCTTCACCCCCCCGCTTCTCCTCATCGCATGGGCATCGGCGGGAGACCGCGGAAGCGCTGGCAGAGCTTCGAGGCCGAAGCGGGGGGGCGACCCAGCCTCGTGGAGCAGGATGGCGTCGATGCCCCGCTGCGCCAGCCTGCAGTGGGCAGCGGGGGCCAATGCATGAAGAAGCAAGTTGCTCAATTTCGTGTTGTCTCTCGCTAGCGTAAGCCATCGTTGATGTGTGAAGAAGGCGAGAGCCAACCCAACCCGAGATCCGCAGGATGATGACGACAGAGGGTTTCTCCCCTGAGGCAGAGAGAGAGGGCATCATTGTCAAAGCCAGCCAGAGCGAGGCCTCAGGCGGGCGAAGCAGGCGGCACGGGCGCGCTGGCGCCTGCACGAGGGAGAGGCGATGGGCGGCGAACGAACAACGACGACATACGCGGCAGAGCAAGAGAACAGCCTCTTGGGCTGCTCTCGCGCCCCGCCTCACCAATCCAGATCCTGCCCCTCTTTTGGACCAACGAGGAACGGATCTGGAGTAGCAGGCATCGGTCCATTTCCCGCGCACTTGACGATGATGGGTCCAGATACTTTCTGAACCCCGAAGCCAAGAGGAAGCGGGGAATTCGGAAGATGACCACGGCGCCGTCGTCGACACCGTCGACAACGACGACGACGACGACGACGACGACGACGACGACGACGACAACGACGACGACACTCGACGACGACAACGACAGCGACGACGACGACGACGACGACAACGACGACGACGACGGCGACGACGACGACGACGACGATGACGACAGCGCCGACGACGACAGCCCCGACGACGACGACGACGACGACGACGCCACCGACGACGACGACGACGACGACGACGACGCCGACGCCGACGCCGACGACGACGACGACGACGGCGACGACGACGACGACGACGACGACGACGACGACGACGACGACGACGACGACGACGACGACGGCGGCGGCGGCGGCGGCGGCGGCGGCGGCGGCGGCGGCGGCGGGCGAGTTGCCTGGCGGACTGCAGGCGCACGACCACGCTCGCGCCCACTGGCGGTTCGGCGAGGGCGCCGGCCAGGTCGTCGAGCTCGAAGAACGCCGCCTCCTCGAGCAGCTGCGCGCGCTGCGCCCTGCCAGGGGACGGAAGGAGATTTACTAGTCGCGGTGATGCTGCGAGTGTCTCGAAGCGGCCTTGCGTATGGATGCACTCCCAGCCGTTCCAGGATTGACCTGGCGGCTGGTCGAGGGGGACGGACCCCTTGAAGACCGAACCAAAACTATGGCCCGAAACGGGCCAGGACAACATTACATGGGTTTTCCTGTGGTGGGATGCCTGGCCTCCCACGGCCTCTGCAGATTACCTCCGAGCAGCCTTGGGTCCCCTCTGGGCTGACACGGAGACAATTGCTTGGCCCACTGGGTGCGCGTCGCAGGCGCACCCCTGCCGAAAACGTGAGAATCGGACGGACGAATATTGAGGGATGAAAAAGCGACCCTACCCTGGGTTACAAGTGCATGGTCTGTAAACCTCCTGGGAACCCCCAAAGCCTAGAGCCGCCAGGACGCGGCACATCACGCAGGGTGTACCCTGTCAGCCCACAGGAGTTTCAGCGCACAGCGCCTCGTAAACCAGGGCACGGGCGATTGTTATGCCCTTGAGAATAGTGGCTGTCCTGCTCGCCGAGAGGATTCGATCTTCGCCTGCCGTTGCCACGAGAAGCCGCTCAGCGGGAGGGCAGGAGGAGGGGCTGACTGGCTCGGCCCCCAAGTTCCACGAAAGAGGAGCCGATCAAATGTCGAGGGTGGCGAAGAGGTTTCCTGGAGCACCAGCGCTCATGCTGCAGAACTTGAACGGCCTGCCTGGGCGCCCCAGGATGCCCAGGTGGTGTTGGCGAGCTCGAACTCCACATGATTTACGGGGGAACGTGGCCCTGGGAGCGCGGACACAGCGTAATTCCTGAGGGAGCGCGGCCCTGGGAGCGCGGACGCAGCGTAGTTCACAAGGGATACAGTCGGGTCGCTGAAGAAGCAACCCTTTTCGTTGGGGAGGGGCTCCGCGTTCCTTAAGTGTTTCACAGCTTGCCTCAGGTGTTCCTCGTGTTTTCGATGGGGAATCGAAGTTTAACTTATAGAAAAAAGGGGCCTCGTTCCTTATTAAGGGTTCCTTAGGTCAACGCCCCAACTGTAGTGACCCAGGGAAAGCGGACGCAGCGCAATTTGCAGTGGACCGTGGCCAAGGGAGCGCGGACGCAGTGGAACTTACAGTGGATCGCGGCCCCTGGGAGCGGGGACGCCAGATCCTGGCCCTGTGGGGGCGGACACCATGTAAGTTACTAGGGGAGCGTGGCCCTGGGAGCGCGGACGCAGCGTCATTCACGAGGGAGCGCGGCCCTGGGAGCGCGGACGCAGCGCAAGCTACGAGGGATCGTGACTCAGGGAGAGCGGACGCAGCGTAGTTTACACAGGATCGTGGCCCAAGAGGCGCGAACGCAACGTAATTTGCAATGGATCGTGGCCCTCGGAGAGCGGACGCAGCGTAATTTACGAAGGATCCTGGCCCTGAGTCAGGGACGTCCCGTGGCACGTTCCCTGACGCGTTCCCTGGCACGTCCCCTGGCGCGTCGCCTGGCATGTTCCCTGGCACGTCCGTGGCGCGTCCCGTGGCGAGTCCCCCAGTCCCCCTGGCACGTCGCGCGGCGAGTCCCCTGGCACGTCCCGTGACACGTCCATTGGCAAGTTCCGTAGCGCGTCCCCTTGGCACGCCCCGCGGTGCGTTCCCATGGCACGCCCCCTAGCACATCCCCTGGCGCGTCCCTTGGGACATTCCGTGGCGCGTCCCCCTGGCATGTCCCCCTGGCATCGCCCAATTGCATATGCGATCCTTAGAAACGGTTCCATGCCTCACAATTCTCAATCCCTTTCCGGGTTCGTGGGTCGATCATGTTTCCCGGAAAGTTCTGGCCCAAGGATCTCTATTGCTCGATGTTACCCCCGGCCTCGACTTGCGTAGGACCGGCGGAATGTTTCTGCACTGAATGACAGGGTCGCGCAGGGCTGGCGGACCACATGTTGAGGATGTCCCGAGGGAACTGCTGGTTTGGGGGAAACGCTGGTTTGTGAAATTCCGATTGGTAAATAAAGTACATGTATGCGTTTGTTGCGAATGCCTCGTGCGAAACGCTTGTTTTGCAGAACTTGGTTGAGGATGCCTCGAACGAAACATTTGTTTTGTCTTATAGACTGCGCACCAAGGGGGTACCTAAAATGGTGGTCCCGAACTTGACCCACGTTTTTACACGTGTCCAGGCCACCCAGAAAGGTATCTAGCATGTGGCCCCGAGCTGGAACCACGTGTTTCAAGTTGTCCAGGCCACCCAGTGGGGTATCTAACATGGTGGCCCGAGCTGAAACCACGAGTTGTTGCGTGTCCAGGCCACCGAGAGGGGTATCGAACATGGTTACCCCGAACTGGAACCATGCGTTTTCGCGTGTGCGGGCCACCCATTAAATCAATAAGTCGGTACCAGATGAAGTTTGCAGAGTTTTTTCGGCTGGTTATTGTCCAGATGTTCCCTTGGGGTAACTAGCATGGTGGTCTCGAGCTGGAACCATGTGCTTGTTTACATGTGCGGGCCACCCAGAAAAGTATCTAACATAATGGATGTTACGTGTCCAGGCCTCCCAGGGGGGTATCTACCATGGTGGTCCCGAGCTGGAACCAACTGTTTCCACGTGTCCAAACCACCCAAGGAGATATCGAACATGGTGGCCCCGAGCTGGAACCATGTGTGTTCACGTGTCCAGGCCACCAAGGGGGTACCTAAAATGGTGGTCCCGAACTTGACCCACGTTTTTACACGTGTCCAGGCCACCCAGAAAGGTACCTAGCATGTGGCCCCAAGCTGGAACCACGTGTTTCAAATTGTCCAGGCCACCCAGTGGGGTATCTAACATGCTGGCCCGAGCTGAAACCACGAGTTGTTGCGTGTCCAGGCCACCGAGAGGGGTATCGAACCTGGTTGCCCCGAACTGGAACCATGTGCTTTCGCGTGTGCGGGCCACCCATTAAATCAATAAGTCGGCACCAGATGTGTAATAAGTTTGCAGAGTTTTTTCGGCTGGTTATTGTCCAGGTGTTCCCTTGGGGTAACTAACATGGTGGTCTCGAGCTGGAGCCATGTGCTTGTTTACATGTGCGGGTCACCCAGAAGAGTATCTAACATGATGGATGTTACGTGTCCAGGCCTCCCAGGGGGGTATCTACCATGGTGGTCCCGAGCTGGAACCAACTGTTTCCACGTGTCCAAACCACCCAAGGAGATATCGAACATGGTGGCCCCGAACTGGAACTACATGTTTTCACGTGTCCAGGCCACCACGTGTTGTCACATGTCCAGGCCACCCAGGGGATTATCTAACATGGTGGTCCCGAGCTGGAACCCATGCGTTTTACATATCCAGGCCACCCGGGTATCTAACATGGTAGCCCCAAGCAGGAACCACGTGTTTTACGTATCCAGGCCATCCAGAGGGGTATCTAACATGGTTGCCCCGAGCTGGAACCATGTGCTTTTTACGTGTGTGGCCACCCACGGAAGGGGGTATCGAAGATGGTTGCCTCTTGATCATCACTGGAACCAAGTGTTTCCACGTGTCCAGGCCACCCATAGAGGCATCTGACATTGTGGCCCCGAGCTGGAACCACGTGTTTTCACGTGTCCAGGCCACCCAGTGGGGTATCCAACACGGTGGTCCCGAGCTAGAACCGCTTGTATTCACCTCACCTGCTCAAGCTACACAAGGGGGTATCTAACCTGGCTGCCCCGAGCTGGAACCGTGTGAAATCACGCGTACGAGCCACCCACGAAGGGGATATCTAGCATATGGTCGCCTGGGAGCCCCCAGCGCGGGGCCCGCGAGAGCCGGCCAAAATCCATAAATCTACACCGGATGCGCAGTGGCCTGGCGAAGGTTCTTCGGCTGGTGGGTTCCCATGTTCTCCACTGGGGCATCTAATCTGGTGGACTCGAGCTAGAACCACGCGTTTTCACGTGTCCAGGCCACCCAGGTGGGTATCTATCATAGTGGCCCCGAGCTGGAACCGCGGTCGCGGTCGTTGCCGTCCGCTGTCGTTGTCGTCGTCGGCATTTCGGCCCGCCCCGTCTCGATGCAATTCGCCTCGGTTTGGACCTCCCATTCTCATTTCGACCGGTTGCGGAGCAGAATCCGTTCATAAGGTCTCGACTGCAATCAGTTCTGGGCGAACAATGCGCCCAGGCAGCTCGAGCTTGAGGCACAGCTCACTTCTGTCAGGATTCGGATGCCAGGAACGATTTGATCCACGTTGCAACAGAGCACAGAAGTCTTCAGATTCGCCTCCTTTCGGTTCGTCCCGCTTCCGAATCGAATCGGATCTTGAGCTCGAGCTGGTCGAGCGCCAAGCGCGTTCCTATTGCGGCCAGATCGAATTATGCGTTCAGACAGCTCGAGCTTAAGATCCAGATCAGTTCGATCGGGGTTCTGACGCCACGGAGGACCTGATCCACAATGCAATAGACCACGGTTCTGCATTGCGGCATGGCGCGTCTCAGTTCATCACAGCACAGCTCAGCACAGCACAGCCCGTGGCACTGTACATCACCATCGCTACCTTGAACATTGCACTTGCCCGTCGTCCAAATTTGGTGCTTTGAAGAATTTCCGCGCTTCACATGTCTATATATATATATATATATCCCTTTCCCGGGTTCGCAGGTCGACCATGTTACGTTATCGCCTGTTCGCTTCCGATGGGCCCCGAAGGCCTCAAGATGGCCCCAGGACGGCCCAAGAGAGCCCCAGGGGCCCAAGAGGGCCGAAAGAAAGCCCCAAATACGCCAGCGCCCCAAGAGCGACCCAAGAGGGACTCAAGATGGACTCAAGACGCAAAGATTGCGCAACCAGGGGGGGACCTGAATTGATTACCCCCCCTTTTTGTTGAGCCGTGGGGGCCAAGACGGCCAAGAGGCCCCCAGACCGCCCCAAGCAGCCCCAGGAAGGCCCCAAGACCCCCCAGAAGAGCCCCGAAAGGTCCTCAAGAGAGACCCGAGAGTGCCCAACAGCGCCCCAAGAGCGCTCCTAGAGGACCTCC